GCAGCGTGTAAAATTGAAACTTTATTAGTAAATATCATAGCCCATCAAAGATGACTAGGCTCACGACTCACGAGACCAATCTTAATTGACTGTAGATTATTCAATTCCAAGTCCATTTATCCATGTGCGGAGGCGGCCATTGGTTTGGTGCTAGCGCTCTCCTTGACTTTTGATTGTGCTCGGTGGGGAAGAAAATTAAGAACTTTGGCTTTTTGCTCTTTTTTCTAGTACATGTTTGTATGGAGGAGAAAAAATGAATGAAAGGGATAAAAGAACGATTTTTCTCTGAAGAAAATTTCCTTGTTATTTTCATTGTTTCTTTGATTTTTCTTAAATATATTCAAGACCTTTTTTTTTTTGAACAGCAAAGTTTCATTACTATCCTGAGTACAAGGGGCACTCAAACCCTTTTACATGAACATCAATCAAACCCCTCAGTTAACAGAAGAAAGCACTATTAGTGTTACTACCATCTTTCAAGCGCCTCCTACTTCACACTAGTAAGGCATGAGGTAGGGTTAATTAACCAGTATGAGAGATTGAAATAACACTTGCCTTTCCTAACTTTAATCCAAGTAAATGATCTTAATTGAATAAGTTCAAAAAGTTTGATCAGGTTTACCTCTATATTGTTAAAGATCTTCTTGTTTCATGCCATCCACACTGACCAAATAACTGCGTTCCAAATACAGTCCCGCCCTTCTCTTTTGTGGGACTTTTTGGTCCAGGCACCAAAGAGCTGAAATGTCTTCCTGCATTCATTTTGTAGTTCTACCTTGATGCCCCACTAGTTTGCACAAGCTCTCCATAGCCATTTGACAATTTTGCATTTCAAGAATAGGTGGCTAGAATCTTCCTCTTCCTCTTCACACAGAACACATTTCCTTTCCTCCTCCTCCTTGATGACCCCCCGTTTCAACAAATTTAGCTTGGTTGGGATTCTATCAAGTGATACCTTCCAGTTGAAAGCTGCTACTTTAGATGGAATGCTAGGATTCCATATGCTTTTATACATTTCTGCTTCCTCCTCTTCCCTCCTTTGATTTGTTAATAATGCGTAGGCTGTTGCTGTTGAGTACTTTCCGTCGGGGCTGTGTATCCACTCCCAATTGTCTGCGCTCCCTGGGGATATTCTCACTTTCTCGATCATGGTTTGAAGTTCTTTTGCTGTCTCGTCTTCCCACTGATGCAAGGTTCTTCTCCATGTCAAGTTCCATCTCCATGTCCCATTGAGATCCCTTCCCATTTGAAAGCATTCTTTGTCTTTGCCTGTAGACAAGATGTACAATCTAGGGAATTTATTAGCCAAGCAGCTTTCCCCACACCACTCATCCCACCAGAAGCTCACTCTTTTCCCCTCACCAACCTTAATTCTAAAACCCTCCGTAAGCCAACCTGCATACACCCCATCTCCAACATTTAAATTTTGGATGTCTCTCCACCATATTGAGCCTCCTCCACTCCTATCCCTTACCCAATCCAACCAATGCCCTCCATTCTCCCCGTACTTACTAGACATCACTTTGCTCCATAGCCCATCTTCCCCTCTTACTAACCTCCCCCACCATTTACCCAACAACGCCATATTGAAATTCCTCAAGTCCTTCACTCCTAGACCTCCATACTCCTTTTTCCTGCATACCCTCTCCCAATTGACCCAACTGATTTTTTTCCTCTCCCTCATCCCTCCCCATAAAAAATTCATGTGTATTTTATCTAAAGAGGAGAAAATACCTTTAGGGATTTTGTAGGCTGACATTAGGTACATGGGAAGGCTAGACAGTACAGAATTTAAAAGAGTGATTCGGCCTCCCAACGATAAGTTTTGCCCATTCCAGCTAGCAAGTTTCTTTTTAAAGGAGTTCACCAGTGGTTGCCACATTGCTATCCTTCTGTGATTCCCTCCAACTGGAGTTCCCAAATACTTAAAAGGAAGATCTCCCTCCTTGCAACACAGTCTATAAGCCATCCTCTCTTTCCAGCCCTCCTCAGTCCCGACCCCCATTATCTGACTCTTGCCAAAATTGATTTTCAGTCCCGACACCAATTCAAAGGTCCTCATGATACTTTTTATTGCTTGGATGTTTTCTTCCGAAGCCTCTCCAAAAAACAAAGTGTCGTTTGCGAATTGGAGGTGAGATACTAACAGGTTCCCGTTTCCAATCCTTACTCCTCTGTACATGTTTTTCTCATTGGCAGACTGCATTAATCCATTAAGCCCTTCTACTACTAATAGAAATAGGAAGGGGGAGAGCGGGTCGCCTTGTCTAATTCCTTTGTTGACTGGGAATTGCTGTGTCGGGCTTCCGTTCACTAGGATCGAGATCATACTCGATTGTAGGCACTCCTTTATCCAATTTCTCCAAGTAACTGTAAAACCCGTCCTCATTAGCATATAATCAATAAAGTCCTAGCTAACTTTGTCATGCTTTTTCGAAATCAACTTTGAAAAGAAAACTCTTCTTCCTCTTCCTTTTTGCCTCATCGATCACCTCGTTTGCAATCACCACTCCGTCCATCAACTGTCTACCTTCTATGAATGCCATTTGCTGCTCCCCGATGATCTTGTCGAGAACTTTCCTGAGGCGATTTGCTAGAAGCTTAGCTAGGATCTTATACATGACTCCAATGAGTGATATAGGTCTGTAGTCTTCGATTCTATAAGGGTTTTCAACCTTAGGGATTAGGGCGATGAAGGAGGAGTTGGAGCCTCTGACCAGCTTGCCATGCTCGTGGAATTCCTGCACGAAGCCAATGACATCCTGTTTTATTTCCTCCCACATTGCCTTTAAAACCTGAAATTGAAGCCATCCGTCCCAGGGGACTTAGATGAGTCACAATCCCACATTGCGTTTTTAATATCCTCTTCTGAGAAAGTGGCCGTCAAAAAATCATTGTCTGCTTTGTCTATCTGTTTGAAGCTGATGCCGTCTAGCTTTGGTCGCTGCCACTCTTCTTCCGAGAATAACCCCTTGAAGTAATTCATCACACCTTCCTTAATCTCATTCACACCTCTACATTGAACTCCCCTAATCTGAATGCTGTTGATTTCATTCCTTCTCCATCTGCCCTTCACACTTCTATGAAAAAACTTTGAGTTTGCATCCCCCTCCTTCAGCCACATCTTTTTGGATTTTTGCTGCCACATGCTCTCTTGAATCTTCATGTTCTTCCAAAGATCCAGGAATCCATTCCTTCTTTTCTCAATATCTACTTCTGAGAGTTGGTTGTGCTCTTCTTTTTCATCCATTTCAGCTATGATCCTTTCTGCTTTGATTATTCTTCTGTCCACTTCAACTTTGTGATTAGCACTCCATTTCTTCAAGGCTTTTTTTGTTTCTCTCAGCTTTTCCTTAAGTCTGAACCCTTTCCATCCCCTCACCTCTACAGATTTCCACACTTTGCTACTTACTTCCTTGCAATTAGGATGTTCCAACCAAGAATCAAAAAACTTAAAAGGTTTTGGACCCCAATCTACCTTTTCATTTTTCAAGAGTAATGGACAATGATCGGAAACTGATCTTCCCAATCCCCACTGTTTTAAGTCATTCCACTTTTGCAGGCATTCTTCTGAAACCAAAAACCTATCTATCCTGCTCCTATGCTGTCCATTTGCACTATGCCAGGTGTATTTTCTATCCACCAATGGTAGATCAACCAGCCCTGTGACATTGATAAAGCTGTCAAACTCCCTCATTTCCCTGGTTATCCCACTGCATCCTGCTCTATCCCCTACTGTTCTTGCTGCATTGAAATCCCCTCCCAAAACCCAATTGCCTCTTTTACTAGTGATCAGCTTGCCCAGCTCCTCCCATAATACTCTTTTACCTTCTAAACGGCATGGAGAGTATATATTCAAGACCTAACAGGCTGACAATTTTCATTTTTCTTTCTAACATGTTACAAATGTTGGAGAGGAGTGGGTTGAACCGTTCTTTTTTCTTTTTCTTTTTTTTTTTGATCTTCAAAGTGAATTTCGTTTATCATGAGCAGAACACATATACACATCAACAGAATCAGCTCAAATCAGAGATGAGCGAGTCATAAACATATGGTGGGAATGTATGATTCCAACAAAGTTCCTATGTTAATGAAATGGCTCCTTTCACTAGCGCATGGTCGACCTTTTTAGCCTCACGCTTCGCAAATAGAAAGCGGGCATGAGATGGTCAAGCCCAAAAGCAACCTCCTCACAGCACAGTACGCATAGAACCCACCACTTGAGATGATAGGTTGGGTGGAAAGAGTTAACATAAAAAGTATTTTCTTTAGATGTCTTTTTTTCACTTAGTCTTTCTCCATAGACTCCAAGTCAACTCATTTTGAGTTTTAAGTCATGGAGAGTGATTGTGTTGGTTTCCTTAAAAAAAATGATAAATGTACAAAGTTTATACAATATGATATGAAATTTAATTATTAATTTTTTAATTTATTTAAGAGTTATACTTAAATTAATACATATGTATCACTTGATTTAATATCAATTATGTTATAAAAAAGTATTAATCATACATAAAAAAAAAGATTTTATTTATAACGATGTCATTCCTTCAAGACCTCCAATCAAAGTAATTAGCGGATGTGTAATAATTGATTTTAAAGCCTTAGAGAATGGGAAAAGCAAAAGAGTTTATAACTTTTTTCACTTAGTGATGTCTTTTTTTCGCTTAGTCTTTCTCCTTAGACTCCAAGTCAACTCATTTTGAGTTTTAAGTCATGGAGAGTGATTGAGTGTTGGTTTCCTTAAAAAAAATTATAAATGTACAAAGTTTATACAATATGATATGAAATTTAATTATTAATTTTTTAATTTATTTAAGAGTTATATGTAAATTAATATATATGTACCAATTGATTTAATATCAATTATGTTATAAAAAGTATTAATCATACATAAAAAAAAAAAGAGATTTTATTTATAGCAATGTCGTTCCTTCAAGACCCCTAATCAAAGTAATTAGCAAACATGTAATAATTGATTTTAAAGCCTTAGAGAATAGGAAAAGCACAAAGTTTATAACTTTATTGGTTGCTTTGGGGCCAAACAATCCCTTAAACCTTGCAAGCACTATTAAAAAAAAATAAAAAGACGAATAAACCCTTAAACAATTAACACTAGACCAAGGATTAAGGGATTGTTTGTCAGAGTTTATAAGCAAGTGTCACTCATAAACTTTATCAAATGTAGGTCTCACCTAAATCATACTAATCATGTGATTGAAATTGAATATCCTCTCATTAAAAAATAATAAGAAATTCAGACTGTCACTCTTTTATTATAAAAAAAATCTAATGGACCAAAATGCAAAAAAAAAAAAGGAGAAAATTTTGAATTACAAATTTACCTTTTAAAAAAATAAAAATTTACCAGTTCAAAGCGAAAACTTTTTAGTTTTACTAGTAGGGAAAACAGAAAAATATTATACCATCACAAAAAAATTACCAAGACATCCCAAACGAAGGTGCATTTCATTTGTCTCCTCCAAGTTACCTATTTCTTCCCACGCTAAACATTTGGTGGAAATGTATGATTCCAACAAAGTTCTTATGTTAATGAAATGGCTCCTTGCACCAGCATGGTCAACCTTTTTATCCTCATGCTTAACATGTAGAAAGCGGAGATGAGATGATCAAGCCCAAAAGCAACCTCCTGCACAGCACAGTACGCATAGAACCCACCACTTGAGATGATTGGTTGGGTGGAAATAGTTAACATAGAAAGTATTTTCTTTAGATGTCTTTTTTCCACTTAGTCTTTCTCCACAGACTCCAAGCAAACTCATTTTGAGTTCTAGGTCATGGAGTGTGATTGTGTGTCAGTTTCCTTAAAAAAAATGATGAATGTACAAAGTTTATACAATGTGATATGAAATTTAATTATTAATTTTTTAATTTATTTAAGAGTTACATGTAAATTAATATATATGTATCATGGAGGAGCAAGGGGAGCGCCCAAAATTGGAAGGGGTTTGCTTTAAGCAAGTGCAACCCGAAGATAATAGACAGCTCATCGAGGCTTTTACTGCTGACGAGATTAAGGCAGCAATATGGGAATGCGATAGTTCGAAAGCGTTGGGACCCAACGGATTTAATTTCAGATTTGTTAAGAGCGAGTGGGAAGTAATCAAAGAAGATGTCATTGATTTCCTACAAGAGTTCCACAAAAACAGCAAAATGGTGCGGGGTTTGAACTATTCTTTTATTGTCCTAGTGCCAAAGGTGGACAACCTGCAGAAGATCGAGGAGTACAAGCCTATATCGCTTATTGGTGTTATCTACAAAATCTTGGCTAAGATACTAGCTAATAGACTAAAGAAGGTACTTGATGAGTTAATTGGCAAGCAACAGATGTCATTCATCAGCGGTAGGCAGTTAATGGATGGGGTTGTTATTGCAAACGAGCTGGTTGACGAAGCAAAGAAGAGAAAGAAGAGTTCTTTTATGTTTAAAATTGATTTTGAAAAGGCTTACGACAAGGTCAGTTGGAGCTTTCTTGACTATATGATGCTGAGAATGGGGTTCTACACCACTTGGAGGAAATAGATCAGAGAGTGTCTTGAAATGAGCATGGTGTCAATTCTAGTTAACGGGAGCTCAACAAGGCAATTCTCAGTTTCAAGGGGACTCAGGCAAGGGGATCCCTTATCTCCCTTTTTGTTTTTAATTGTTACGGAAGGGCTGAATGGACTGGTTAGCTCGGCTGTCCAGAAGGGTCTACTACAAGGAGTGGAGGTGGGCTCTCAGAACCTCAAAATATCACATCTCCAATATGCTAATGAGACAGATATTGTTCGGTTCAGCCACAGATGAAAATGTGTGGGCAATGAAAGGAATCTTGAGAGCATTCGAGCTATGCTCTGGTCTGAAAATCAATTTCCATAAGAGTCAACTGCTGGGTATTTGTATGGGGGAAGACTGGTTGGACAAAATGTCGTGGATTTTGTGCTGCAAAAAAGGAACGTTCCCATTCAAGTACTTGGGAATTCCCATAGGAGGAAATTGTAGAAGACTTGGGTTCTAGAAGCCTTCGGTAGATCTGTTCTCCAAGAAATTATCCACATGGAAGGCTAGCTACTTGTCTCTTGGGGGCCGACTCACTCGTATCAATTCAGTGCTGTCCAGCCTCCCGGTCTTTTAGATGTCAATGTATGTGATCCCAAAAGGTACGATTCGAACTCTTGATAAAATTCGTAGGAATTTTCTGTGGTGTGGGACTAAAGGGGGGAATAGGATAAATTGGGTGAAATGGGTTGAGGTTTGTAAGGATAAAGAAAGAGGAGGGCTAGGAGTAAAAGATCTAGGGAAACTTAATTTCGCTTTGTTAGGTAAATGGTGGGGGAGGTTAGTGTCAGAGGAGAGAGGTCTGTGGAAGAAGGTCATATGTGAAAAGTATGGCATAAAAGGGGAACATAGTTGCAATTGGTTGAGGGTGGGTTTCAATTTTGGTTCAATGTGGTGGAGAGACACATGCAGGCTAGACTCTATAGTAGAGGAGAAGCAGGGATGGTTAGCCAATGGTTTTAAAATAAAAGTGGGGGGAGGAGACTTGGTCAAATTCTGGTGGGACATTTGGAGTGAGGGGGAGAGCATTGCTAACAAATTTCCAAGACTCTATTCTCTGTCAACAGGTAAAGATAACAAAATATCCCAGATGGGGGAGTGGGTGCATGGAACTGGAAATTACATTGGAGGAGGAGCTTGTATAGTTGGGAAAAACAACAAGAAGAAGAATTGCAGAGGGAGCTTCAAAGAACCCCAGTCATGAGAGGCAAGCTGGATCAGTGCGTGTGGGTACACTCTAAGGATGGATGCTACTCCATGAGAACAGCTTATCAAGTATTAACGGAAGCACAAAGTCCGGCCCAACACAGTGCAGCTTTAAGCAAAGTTTGGAATGTTTTCACCCCCAGTAAAATAGCAGCCTTTTCATGGCAATTATTGCAGGACAGAACTCCAACGAAACTTAACCTTTTAAAAAGAGGCATTATTCAAAACATTTCAGAGTGTAAGTGCGACCTATGTGGCAGGGAGTATGAAGACTCCAACCATTTATTTATTCATTGCAAAGTAGCCTATAGTCTCTGGACAGCATGTTTTAAGTGGTGGGGATTAACTACTGCGCTGGATAAGGATTGCTGCAGGGTATTTGAACAGCACCCACATTTGTTAAATAAACCAAGTGAGAAGAAGGGATGGGATTGTATCTGGTTCACACTGATTTGGACAATTTGGTTAGCACGAAATGAGAGAACATTTAGAGGGAAAGGGGCAAACAAAGAAAGACTCTTCAAGCTCATACAACTTCACTCATTTCATTGGATAAAGTACAAGAGCAACAGGTGCTACTTTTCACTGTCTGACTGGATACAAAGTCCATCAGAATGCTTGAGGATCAGCCGTGGCAGCAGGAAGGATGAGGGTAGACTGCTGAATACCAGGTAGCAATTCTTAATACATGCAGTGAATGTTGACATTTTAGGGCTGCATATATTTTGTAGGGTATCTGTATAGAACAATCTCGATATTGTCGTTACGGGTTTGAGTACCCCTTGTACTCACAGCAATAAATATCTTTTGACTTTTCAAAAAAAAAAAATGTATCAATTGATTTAGGAAAATAATTAGTACACCCTCCGATTCAACATAATTTTTGATATACTCCAGTTTAGTGATTAAGAATATAATATAAATACAATCAATTTAACTGATTCTTGTATCCTGTGTGTATGATTGTATCATTAAACTTGTTTGTTTTTAATTTCAAACAAAAAAAAATAGTGATTTTTTAATAAGTGTACCATATAATGTGTTGAACCGAAATATATATAAATCATTGTCCATTGATTTAATATCAATTATATTATAAAAAGTATAAATCATACAAAAAAAAATATTTTATTTATAGCGTTGTCAATCCTTCAAGACTTTCAATCAAAGTAATTAGCAGACATGTAATAATTGTTTTAAAGCCTTAT